TTACCGATATAGTGCTTCATTGCCTGCACCACTTCGTCACTATTGCTTGCTTTCAATGGATAGCCCCATATCACACCAGTGAACCGATCTCGAATCACCAATATGTCCTTATCCGGCATGATCCCATCTCTCGCCATCTTCTGAGTGTTCATGAGATCGAAAGTGATAAGGTCACCGAATGCCTTCAATTTCCGTTTGAAAGCTCCCTTGCTAGTCTTGTAGTGCTTCATCTTTGCTCTCACACATGACTTGCAGTATGGGTTCTTGTATCGGTGCGTCATCAAGTGCAATATGGATTTCGCCTCGTTCTTCAGCACTCCTGGTTTTGATAGTCTGGCTTCCCCGTCAACCACATCGACTTCCAATAGTCCCTCTTCATCTTCATCAATGTCACTCTCCCCTCGTTCAGAATCCGCATCACCTCCATGTTCGTCGCCTCCGGCTTCTTCAGGTTGACCTTCGTGATCACGATCGAATCTCGGGTCTTCCCCGTCATATTCCTCTTCAGGAGAATACCCGTCATCACCGTGTTCCTCTGGTTCTCCTTCGACGCCTGCAACAGCTGGATTGATATCAGATTCACCATCCTGACCTCTCTGGTTATCTTTCTTCTTTCTCCTCCGTCTCCGTGGTTTCTTGGGCGGAAGTTCCTCTTGTTGTGTCTCCTGACCTGTTGTGACCTCGTCTTCATGCCCCACACCTGACAGTATGCGATGAAGTATCGTAGCCAAGCCGTCTGGTCTTGGTAAACATCTCCCGTCATCATCATTCACCTTGATGTAGGGTATGTTGTCATGCACCGATAGCGGAATCTTGTTCGCGTTCTGGTCGATGAGGTATGGCAATTGATTTGCCGGCCATATGAATGAGTACCCTTGTTCCATGCACCGTTTCCCGATGGAAAAGACTGATGGTGTGCTTTCCAACACGTGTGCCTCGGACCTCATGGGTAGTTCGTCCACATTGATGTCCACCATCTCTGATGTACTAGTTACACCATTCGCTGTCATGAAGCTCACGGATTTGGGTCCTTCCTTGGTGGTAAGGCCCATGGCATTGACTTTCTCTCTTGAGATCAAATCGTGTCCACATCCCGTGTCCATGATGAAGCGTATTGGTGGTCCATCATACCTCTCCACAGCCATGAACATCGTGGTTCCTGGTATCGTGTAGTCGACAAAATCCTTCCTTACTACCTCTCTGGTGTTGAAATCAGACAGGTCGACGTTCACCTCGATTCCTTCATCCTGAGTGATTTGTATCCATGCCTTGGCAATGTGTTCAGCATAGAATAGCTCCATCATCTTACCTTTGGCATGTGCTACTCTTGCAGCTATGTTGCTCACTCTGAGGGCTCTCGACGACGAAATGAGCTCGGTGTCCACCTTCTGCACCTCATTCTTCTTCCTCTTGGAGGGACGGTTGTTTAGTTCGTTACCAGGATCGCAGGTGAACGTGGTCACATTCGCCTGGTCATCGAATCTGACTTTAAAGCGAAGCGCCAGCTTACCTTGTTGTACGTTGGGAAGTGCGGGTTGTACGTCCTCGTCATCACTCTCGATGTCTCCGCAAAGCATGAAGGCTGGCGCAGCCGGTTTGGGCTTGGCTTTGCCTCTAGCCTCTTGTTTTGTAGCAGGAGCAGCGTGATGCTGACGTTGACATTTGTCCCCGAACTTGCACGATCCTTTCTGCCAATTCCAACAGACCTGATCCTTCATTGGCTTAGGGCTACTGCTCCTGCCACCGGGACTCTTTGATCTGTCACCCTTGAGGTTTTCTGGTTTCTTAGCAGAACTCTTGTGCTTCTCCTGGTGACTAAACTTGCATTTGTCTCCTCTAGAGCATCCGTTTTTCCCATGGAAGTGGAAAGCGCATCCTATCTTGGACGTATCTGCTGGAGTCGCTGATCTGCCACGATCCCCTTTTGGGCTCTTCGTGGCTGATCTTCCACGATCCTGCTTCTTGTCCTTCTTGTTGTGGTCCTTCGGATTAGCCTGAGGAAGTACTGGAGCGGCGTCATGTTTCGGTGGATCGGTCTTGGTATTCTTGGGTTTCGCTTTAGGGTCCTTCTTCTCCGCCGCTGGTGTGGCTCTCACGATGTTCCCAAAAGCTTTCTCCCTTTCTTTCTTGTTTGTGGTCTCAATTGATTTCCGTATCCACTTCGTCATGATCTCTCGTAACTTCTGATAGGTCTTATCCGGGTCCTTATCCAACATGTTGTCGTACACAGACAAGTCTAACGCCATAACTTTGGAATCCTTAATCTTATCCCAAAGCAGGTTGCGAAGTGCTTTGTCAGGAAGCATGTCATCCGCATCCATACCAGATATGATCTCATCCCACTGTCCAAGGAATCTGGATAGTTGATTATCCCCAGGGAACTTTAGATCGAATAAGTGCTTGGATGCATACATCACATCAACGTTGTCGGCACTCCGGAAACTATCGACGATCAACGCTAACATTTCTCGTCCCTTGACCATTCCAGGAGTTGTGCCTCTCGCACGTCTCTGCATCATCTGCCTCACCTTCAGTTGTACGTCATGAGATCTCTCACCTGCTGCGTGGATGATCGTATGTAGGGTGATACCTAGCTTAGCGTCTATGCTAGCGAATCTTGCTTCGCCTGATGTCTCGAGTAGAAATGGGTCATATGGTGACCTGAAGGCATCCGAGAGCCATTGGATCCAGTCTTCTTGTTTCTCGTCGCCCGATGCCGTCACGACTGCCGCTACAACCTGGGATTTCCAAACCTCCAGGTCGTGTATCTTGGGCCATGCAGGGATGTTGATCTTCTCGTGTTCCTTCCGAGATATCTTGGAGCCACCTGAGCTAGAGGATGAAGCGGCACCATGTTCGGTTGCGGCTGCATTCTCTGCACTTGTGCGCTCCTCTTCGTACCTCTTCCGGTACTTATTCCTCTCATCCCTGAGCCGTGATGCATGCGCTTCGAATTCCATCATGTCCTGTTGGTTCTGCATCATACCTTCGTAGTACTCAATTGCCTCTTTCTCCTCGGACCTTAATAACTTTTCAGTACGTTCAAGTTCCGCTCTAAGCTTGGTCATCATCTCATTCTCCACACTGGGTTCTGATCCCATGTCTGGTGGTTTCAACTTCAGTGCGACCTTCAATTGTGCTTCACTTGCGCTTGATTCGATCAGTTCTTCCTGAAGACGTTTCAGCATCCTCTCTTTACGTAGAATGTCCTCTTCCAACATGTTCACCTTGGCTTCGGCCTTTTTTGAGTTCGGCGCTAGATGGTTGAAACGGTCGATCGGATCCTTGAATCCTCGTCTGAGTCAACTCCTCGTTCGCCTTCTTCAATTGCTCTCTGATGCTCAAGATGAACTTATCCTGAGTATTAGATCGGTTGTTGAGCCCCTCATTCTCTTCTGATAACCATTTGATCTTGCTTGCATACATTGCTTCCCTCATCTTCATCTCTTCAGCATATTCGTGTTTGTTTCTGGCACTCTGCCTTTGTAGTCCAACTAACTCCTGTCTACACAGATCCTTGACGTTCTCAGCATCTGCGATTGTAGTCATGATCTCGGTTACAGCTCGATCTCTTTCCGCCGATATAGCCTGGATCTCTTCCGTGCCGATGTTCACAACTTGACTAACCATCTCTGCGCTGTTGCGATCAGCGTACTCCCCTAACTGGGTGAGACGATCCCGCATTGCCACACGATCAGTGTCCATCTGGTATTGCAGGTCGTGTGCTGCTGAGAGCAAACAGTCTCTGGATTCTGTAAGTTGGGAGATTCTTCGTTGATTTCCATATCCTTCGACATAACATTCCTCGAGGTGTGCCATCACTACTTCGTGGACTTCGGTCTCGTGTTGTATAATCTGGTTCTGTCTCTGCTCACATTCGACCATCCATGCGTTTTGGTGGTTCAACATATGCACTTCGGCAAGTAGTTGCGCACACTTCGCATTCAGGTCTCCATCGGCCCGTGCTAGTTGTAGGTTGTCAGTGCTTGCCCTTGCTCGATCTCCAGCTTCGCTGTCCGACGGCACTGGTACAGCTGACCCATCCTGCAATGCTAACACTCTCACAGCTCCGGTGTCAGTCCTCCTCCTTGTCTCCCTAGGGCTACGGCCTGATCTCGGTGTCCCCCACGGTGGTGTCGAGTGCGCTGACGGGGAACGACTTCGTGCTCTACCTGTCGCATCTTCTCTCACCGCTGTCAGAGTCTCTGCTTCGATCGTACCTGGACTAGAGTTGTGGGATGCACTCATCCGATCTGCGGCCGCAGCAGCTGCTCCAAAAGATGCAGTGCTGGCGTCGGATTGGTCCATCTTCAGTGACTGAGGGTAACTGATCTATCCGATGTGTGTGCGTTTAGATGGTGTTGTGTAAGGCCGCAGCTCGTACCCAGCTCAAAGGAGTCTGGATACGGCTGATAACCTGCGAACGGATGGAAAGGTGTGCCCTGGCCCCGTTCTAGCTCTTAGGTCAACATGAAGCTCGCGCGCTAAAGCTCCTTTTTACCTGGTTGGGCACTTGAGCCAAAAGTATATGGCATGTACCTGTATAGCGACTATACTGGGACCCCATCCCTATTGACAATGCCCAAGGATTGACATATTGACTAAAAGCCCATCCATCACGTCAGAAAGAAGAATGGAATGAAAACCCACGAAAAACCAACCACTGAGTCGATCCTTCAACGTGGAAGGTGACAATGTGACCATCCCGTGATCCAAGTCTGGCGGCGCAAAGAGGAAGAACACAGGATGCCCTGCTCTTGGCTGACCAAACCCGCCTTTTCTTGCAAAATCATACCAATTGTGTTGTTTTATTCCAAGACCTTTCGATCTAAAGCGCCATGGGCCGATCAACTGTCGATGGTTCTGGCCTCAGCGCTACCAGCGATCTGATTTTTTTTTGGGGGGGGCGCAACATCAGGCTCCCAAAACCGAAACCACCCCGTCCGTGACCATTGGGTAAAACAGGGAACCTCACCTGCACCGGTGTCTTGTCGACCCGCCTTCGACCTTCTCGATATAGGTCCTCTTTGATGCCAGCAACCCGCTCAAGACGTTCGCCTGTCAACGAGCTGGTGACAGGAGCCAACACCGGAGGTGGGGTCTGTACGAGGTGGGGTCTGTACGAGATGGCTACGAGTAGCGGCTTGACCGGTCGTGGTGAAGAAGGTTGTACCATGTATACCGGGCCGCTTCTTTGGTTGGTTGACCCGAAAAGAAAAAAATAAAGCACACTGGACAAGCACTTGTCTACCCATGTCAACTGTGAACGTCGCCAGCAAAATGCTCGGCACCCAACTCACCCAAAGATACAGGACACGACTCTGCGCATCTTTGCACGACTCGCACGACTCGCAGCGTCAGCTCTTCCAAAGGCATGGTGTTTTGCCTCCAAATCAGAAGGATGCCACAAGCAACACAATTTTTTGATAGGGTGACATGGAGGATGTTTCAATCTCGAACTTCAGAGTGGCGCATCGATCAGAGCTGATGAGAGCTGCACTGCTCATCTCATCATCTCCACCGTCTGCAATGCCTTGACGGCGTCCGGTTAGAAAGTCGCGCTGCCCTCTTCCACTCCTTGCCCTTGAGTTCCCTTCTATTCATGTCATGTCCTTAGTGCGAGAATTGCGAATTGCGATCGCAGGGCAAATGCTATTTCAAACCTAAAAGCTTTAACACCCCCAAAATGTGACTTATGTAAAATGTTGTCGTGAAAAGGGGTGGGCGACAAACCATGCAAAATACGCAGTGTTCTGTTCCGCTCGGTCAATCCGAGTTTCGCTGATTGGGTTTCTCGACGCTTTCTAGCAACCGCGCCCAAAGGCGCTGCTTCTCAGCTTCAATCTGCTGACGCTTCTCAGCTTCAATCCGCTGCCTCGTATGAAGGTCGTGCTCTGGCTCATCAAGCAACTCTTCGCGCATCTGAAGCAAGTCTTCACACATCTGACGCCAGCACTCCCGGAGCTCGGCAAACAGTTCTTCCAAGCGCAGTTCGGTTTCAGATTTGGGACACACCACACGCGTCAGGGTGTCTCCACTTTGCAGACCAGCTTCACTCAAGGACATGCAAGGCTTTAGCTCTTGTCCTTCGAACAACAGCTTGATCCTGCATTGAGGCTCAGCACACCTGAATGGCAAGAAGTGACACCAAAGAAAACCCACGAAATCCTTCAAAATCCTAGAAACAAAAGGCAAGACGGAATGAACACCTCCCAGTACTGTTCTCCATGTTTTTCTTTTTTACCAGCCTTTGCAAGAGCTCGCTGATGGGCGTCTCCTCACCAAGATCTGTCATGGTGATCTCACGAACTTCCTCTCCACTCAGGGCAATCACACGTAGCTTCGCCATGGTTGCGGAGCTCAAAGTCATGGCGCTGAGCTGAAAAATATTCGAGTTTGGACCCGAACGATTGACATCAACCCCATTTGGGCCACGAAACCAAGCCCATAAACAAGCTTCATGAATGCAATTGACATCAATTGACTCATCTCTTCAATGAAGGTCGAGCCTAGCTCCCTTTATCGAGCTCGTTTCCCTCTCCCACCAGCCTTTTTTGGACCAGCCACCCTCAACCGGTCCACCCTCCACTCACCCCTTCCCCGTGTCCACCGCGTCCATTCCCCTTGGCCCAGCCTTCTCGCTCAGCCCAGCGGCTAAGGCCACTGCGGAGCCGGCAGAGTCGGGGTTTGCCAGCAGGTCTGCCAAGTCCTGGTTCGCAGGTCTGCAGCGTTCAGCAGGGAGCAGGTCAGTGAGAAGATGTGAAACGTTCTTTAAGTGTCAATGCATATGGCGCCATGAACATGGGCTGATTGAACAAGTGTGGTGCCATGTGTTTTGGGCCAGGGCCCAAGGTCAAATAGCTTGATGTAAACTATATACATTGCAACTGTTACTTGCTCTGATGAGCCATTACTCGCGGGCAAAACACCTGTTCTTAACGATCTGAACAGCCGAAGTTTCACAGCTTTGGGGCAGGTAGGCACTCCAAAACAATCAAAAACCCTGTTCATGTCTGGGTCTGACGTACCGCGCAGTCTCTGCGCGCATTCAGTCTCTTGCCTTCGCAGCTGCGTGCGTGCTTGCATGTGCGTACGCAGCTGTTCTGCCGTGGTGGAGGACCGAGTTGGCAACCCAATCGGCACTGGGTCTTCGATTCCTCCCCGACAGCACACGCACCTACTGGACGACTGGTCTGGACCGGTAGGGAGACATGGGGGGGACCCAGGACGACCCAAGTGGCAAGAGGGGGTTGGGTGGCGTTTCGGACCTGCACACATCTTCACCTTACGGCGAATGGTTGGTGGCATGGCATCACCTCTACGGCCGAGAGGTTGGAACCGTCGCTCGCGAACCGTCGCTCCTGACAGCTATCCAAAGCCCTACAGGTCCTGAGTGGAGAAGAAAGTCACGAGTGGTACCACCCCCAAAAAAAAACAGACCTGTTATGGTATACTGAGTATACTGGATACCATCTTTGATTGGAGTGTGGTTTCACTTGGGCAAAAGAGGGCATATTCCTTAGTGGTCCTGGAAGTACTTGCTCAGACCCTTGATGATCCAACTTGTAGAGCTTGGTCAAGAAATGAAAGCCTCTCCCCGCGGACCTCTGTGCTTTTCATAACCTTGGCACCATGTTCACCTCGATCCTTCAAAGGTCGGTCAAAAGTCAAATCCGCTTCGCGGTTGTCGCTCTCAACTGAATGTTTAAAAAAATAAAATGGTTACCAGCACCCTCCAACAGGTCACCAATTGAGAGATCTGGCCTAACAACCCTCCAAAGGAGGGTGCAGGGTTCTTGAACCCCCAAGCTTACCTCCTGAAGCTTCCAACTGATCTTTGGAAAAAGCCCTGCTCATCTACCCGGACCGCCCTGCCAACCCTGTTCCAACCCAACGATCACCGAAGACACTGGATAATGCGACCGGCCACCAGCATCATCTGAGTCAAACGGCTCAGCAGGCCTTTTTCGGCACGGCCGAGTCGTTCCCCGAACGTTCGAGTCGTTCTCCGAAGACAAAAAACATCGCAACTGGTGTGTATGTTGATAGGGAGGACCCCCTGGCCCAATGGAACACCCACTGTTCGTTTAGGAAAATGGTCTTCCGAAATCAGTACCCATGCCATCCACTGCCCTTCCGAAAGTACACTTGGAGTTGGGTATGAACTGATGGACCGACTTCCATGTCGGACCGCAGCTTCCCCAAAGCCTTCTGCATGGCATGCCCTCTGATTGCTGAAAACTGCAGAACCATGCTGAAAAACTGCATGGTATTGGTTCAAACAACTCCGGTTGGCGCCGGTTCCCCACCCTCCCGTCCGCAATCCCTTTTTTCGACCCTTTTTCGACCCGTCACACGTTCGTCCGCCCGAAGGGAATGTGAAGTCCGAACACGGCCCGACACTCCGAGGGGTCCGAAAGGGTTCCACCTGCTGCTGCTTCGGGCTTCAGGAAGGGATTCAATCTTGCAAAGTCCAACTCCTTGGTGCCACAGGACGGGGCGGGGGCGGAAGAAGCCAAAGACGGGGCGGATGCTTTGCTCCCTCTCAGGTACTATAGATCATATGTTGTAATTTAAATATGTCAGGAAATTTGGGAGGGTGATCTATACTTCCTTCAGCCATCTTCATCCTAATGCGATGCTCAAGATCAACCTGGGAATCCCCACATTCCCACCATCTCCCCCGCATGAACCGCTTGAAAAGAGCAAAATGGTGCCATGCACGACTCATGAGAAGAGGGATGATTTTTCTCCATCAAAGCTGTGCACATCCATTTGACTGCCGAAGTCCGCGACAGCGACGCTTGTGGTCCTGAAGCCCTACTGATCTGGACGACAGAGGCTCTCTTTCACCAGCATCCAGGGTTTCTTCACCTCCCATGGCGATGGAGACTCCTCCGCATGCCGGAGAAATCCCGCCTTCTCCTCAGACAAGGCCCCGATCTTCCAGCAGGAGTAAGTGCTACTCCAAAAGACGTGCAGTTCGGTGCAAATGAGGTGTCCATGAGGACCGATTTGGATCTGCTGGTAGTACGGCTTGCCACAAAAGACATCCGGGCGCCGGTAGAAGATGCCCTGCACGGCATCCAGCAAGCTGGAGGTTAAGGTCTTCTTCTTGAGAGCCAGGAGCAGTTGGACATCTTTAAACTTCCTGGCCAGTTTGCTAATAGACA